CTCTCTCCATGCCAACGTTGGGAAGGTCAGGCATCATATGACTGACAACTTTGAAACCAGCATCCTTGGAGAGCTTGAATGTCTCGGCTACAGATTTGACGGTATGGCCGCGATTTGTGTCGCGCGCAACATCTTCGTAGAGGGACTGGACACCGATTTCGAGGCGAGTACAGCCATAGCGAAGCATTGCGGAAAGATGTTGGTCCAGACAATAATCTGGCCGTGTCTCAATGGTGATGCCAACACACTTGACGTTGCTCATCTCGCCCGCTGCCACCGCCTCGTCGACATTCGTCGTTTGGTATCCGCTCAGCGCGTTGTGGAGCTGACTGATGAACTCGTTCCGGTAATCCTCTGCTAGCGACATGAATGTGCCTCCCATGATGATGTATTCGACCTTGTCCACACTGTGGCCCAAGGCCTTGATCTGGTCAACGCGGCCTCGAGCTTGCTCGTATGGATCATACCGCGCGCGGATTGCGCGCATCGATGTTGGTTCATAGCCGGTGTAAGACTGTGTCGAGTACTCGAAATCCGAATCGGGACCTCCGGGGCAGTATACGCAAATGTTACCCGTGTATGCAATGTGTGGGCAGCGGTGGGGCTTGCACATTACCGCCACAACGGCGATTCCAGAAGAAGTTCCTGGGAAATATTAGCGTTTGCCTTGAAGACGAGGTGAGAGACATACGAATGGGTTTGGCAATCAATTTGGGCAGAATGTATTTCTTGTAATGCTCGGGGACTGCAGCAATAATTGCAGTCAGAGGCGGCTGAGTGCTGAGAAAGTGCTTCTTGGCCATTTGGCCGCGCAGCGCGTTCAGATTGATGTCCTTTTTGGGCTTGGAACCATCTACGGAGGCCTCGTAGTCCTGGATGAGTGCGCTCGCAATGTCTGCGCATGCGCGCATGTAGCGCTCGTTCTCTGGAGGCAGCTTGACATTTTTTGGCAGCCGGCGCTTGGGCTGGGTCGCGGTGACGGTCATGGTCGCCATGGTGGGCCAGGAGTGGCTGAGGGGTTTCGACGAGAGGCAAGAGTATTGGGCGAGTATTTGGCGTGGCGGTGGTACAGGTGTTGGTTGTTACGACATGGATGAGTGGGTGCAATGCATGTGGGTCGCCGTCTGGGGAGCGGCCGAAGAAAACCAATCGGCCCTTGCGCTTACAACATCTCTCCTCCGTGCTAGCAAACTGCCGCAGCAAACCCTACGACCTTCCGGTTCGCGACAACCGACCTCAACCCATCCCACTCCACTCTTTTTCTAGAGCACAGTTCGCATCATGCAGGCATTCCGTCGTCCCTTGTGCTCCGCACTCAGCGCCGCTGGCCGCAGGCAGGCCTACTCGACGGCTTCGCCCTACGCCTCGACTGCTCCCAACCTGCGCATCAACAAGGACACCAAGGTTCTGTTCCAGGGTTTCACGGGCAAGCAGGGAACGTATGTAGCTCTACTGTCCTCATTCGCGATTTTGGTTGCTGACGAGTCCTCAGCTTCCACGCCCAGCAGGCCATCGAATACGGTACGAGCTCAAGCTCTTCATAGCTCCATTCATAGCGAACACACATTTTGATAAGGAACCAGGCACCAACGTCGTCGGCGGCACCAACCCCAAGAAGGCTGGTACTGAGCATCTCGGTAAGCCCGTGTTTGCCAGCGTCGAGGAGGCCAGGAAGGCCACGGGCGCCGACGCTTCTGCCATCTTTGTCCCTCCTCCTCTGGCTGCTGCCAGTATTGAGGAGGCCATCAAGGCAGAGGTTCCCCTCGTCGTCACCATCACCGAGGGTATTCCCCAGCATGACATGGTCCGCATCACCGACATGCTCAAGACCCAAAACAAGACGCGCATGCTGGGCCCCAACTGCCCCGGTATCATCGCACCTGTATGTTTACCCCGCCTGTGACCCAAGAAGCCTCATTTTTGACGCTCCACCAGGGTCAATGCAAGATTGGCATTATGCCCGGTTTCATCCACAAGCGCGGCCGCGTCGGCATCGTGTCTCGCTCGGGTACCCTGACCTACGAGGCCGTCAACCAGACCACCCAGACCGGTCTTGGCCAGTCCCTCGTCGTCGGTATCGGCGGCGACCCCTTCTCCGGCACCAACTTCATCGACTGCCTGAACATCTTTTTGAAGGATGAGGAGACGGAGGGTATCATCATGATTGGCGAGATTGGTGGCAGCGCCGAGGAGGACGCTGCAGACTTTTTGAAGGCCAACAACACGATGAACAAGCCTGTTGTCAGCTTCATTGCCGGTATCTCTGCGCCGCCGGGAAGGAGGATGGGTCACGCCGGTATGTTTTCCCGTCAGGCCTACTGGGCAAGAGTATTAGCTGATTCGCAAACAGGCGCCATCGTGTCCGGTGGTAAGGGTGACGCCAACTCCAAGATCACTGCTTTGGAGGGTGCCGGCGTCGTCGTTGAGCGCAGCCCTGCGGCTCTGGGCAAGACGCTGCACGCCGAGTTTGTCAAGCGCGACTTGATCTAATGGAACAAATAGACAAATGGGGGACGGAATGCCATGAAAAGGAATTGAGATTGGGTCGGCTGGTCCTATGAGATTTTGAGCGTTTGGGTTTGCGTGCATTTGCTCTGCAGCTGTACAGTTCATCTAGATTTGGCGGCAAACGGCGGTCCCGGCTGTTTTTTAAAACAAAATACCCTCTACTTGACGACCGAGTTATCTCCTAGGACCCTGCACAAAAGTGAGGTGATGTGGGTGTGCCGGCGCTGGGGGTGGGCGGCGGCCGCGGAGATCACCCCCAGATCCCTCCCTGACTGAAGCTCCGCCCGGTCCATTATTGGACTCCAAGGCACGCAGTCCAACCCCCCTCGATCGAGAAGACACCAACGTCAGTCAACAACACCGCCCGCCCACCCGACCGCTCCCTGGCTGTCGCGACAATGTGCGACCAAGCCCCCCACTGCGTGTCTCACTCGCAATGCTGACCCCATGCTCCCAGGCTCTCCGGCATCCTCATCTTCAACCAAAAGGGCGAGAACCTCATCTTCCGCGCCTTTCGCAACGACTGCCGTCCCCGTCTCGCCGACGTCTTTCGCATTCAGGTCATCAGCAATGCCCAAGTGCGCTCGCCCATCCTGACCCTCGGATCCACCACCTTTAGCCACGTCAAACATGAGAACATCTACCTCGTCGCCGTTACTAAGAGTAACGCCAACGCCGCCCTCGTCTTCGAGTTCCTGTACCGAATGGTAGGCTTGGGCAAGGCATACTTTGGCAAGTTTGACGAGGAGGCTGTCAAGAATAACTTTGTGCTTGTATACGAGCTTCTCGATGGTGCGTCTCAAGCTTCAGGGATGTAGGACGTGGATTGCTCACGCGGAATAGAGATATTGGATTTCGGATACCCACAAAACACCGAGACGGAGACACTCAAGATGTACATCACTACCGAGGGTGTCAAGTCTGAGCGCGCAATGGTACGTGGCTGTCGTGCTTTGGCAGCTTCAACGCTGACATGGAGCAGGAGGACTCGTCCAAGATTACCATGCAGGCCACTGGCGCACTCTCGTGGAGGCGCTCGGATATCAAGTACCGCAAGAACGAGGCCTTTGTCGATGTCATTGAGGATGTCAACCTGCTCATGTCCGCCACGGGGACTGTGCTCCGCGCCGATGTCAATGGCCAAATCGTCATGCGCGCGTACCTGTCCGGCACCCCCGAGTGCAAGTTTGGGCTCAACGACCGTCTCACGCTGGGCGAGGACAGCCTCTCCACGCCTTCCGGCAATCGATCGGGAACAAAAGCCACTCGCGCCGCCGCCGGCTCCGTTACACTGGAGGACTGTCAATTTCATCAATGCGTGAAGCTGGGCAAATTCGACACAGATCGCATCATCAGCTTCGTCCCCCCAGATGGCGAATTCGAGCTGATGCGATATCGCGCGACGGAGAATGTCAACCTGCCATTCAAGGTGCATGCTATCGTCAACGAAGTCGGCAAGACCAAGGTCGAGTACAGCATCGCAATCCGCGCCAACTACGGCTCCAAGCTGTTTGCGACCAATGTTACTGTGCGCATCCCGACGCCGCTCAACACGGCAAACATATCGTCGCGTACTAGCCAGGGCAAGGCCAAGTACGAGCCCGAGCACAACAACATTGTGTGGAAGATTCCACGGTTCACGGGCCAAAGCGAGTACGTCCTCAGCGCCGAAGCGACGCTGACGAGCATGACGAACCAAAAGGCGTGGAGTCGACCACCGCTGAACCTAAGCTTCAGCTTGCTCATGTTCACAAGCAGTGGGCTGTTGGTGCGCTACCTCAAGGTCTTTGAGAAGAGCAATTACAGCAGCGTCAAATGGGTTAGGTACATGACGCGTGCTGGGAATTACGAGATTCGATTTTAAGCACTGGGTTGGCTGAGGCCCTATGCAAAGGCAACCCCAGTAAGCATGGCATTCGCCTTGTTCCTCTTTGGGCGATGGGCGTGGTCGTGGCGCCGGGGCGTTTCGGGAAGCGTGGCATCACGGACTTTGTTGATGGAGACTTTTTTTGCATTGGGTCGGTGTTTACTCTTTTGGATACCTTGTCTTTTTTCGCGCCTCTTGTTCTTGTACGATTCAAGGCCTGTTGCTAAAAGCTCGTAGCTCGCGCAACCATTCAAACGTTTCTATGCCTCTCTTGTGTACCTGTTTGCTCCCTGCCGCGTTGGCTTTCAAAGACCTCATGCTTCCCCTTGACGGCCTTGGATATCTTGAGCGTTTCCCATTAGCGCTCCCATCACAGGAGGGCACCTCTCCTTCCTCTTTTATGGGCCTCGAAATTCGGCAAAAATCCAGTCTAGCGGCGCGATCACTTCTCCCGATTCCGCTTGGTTCCGCCGCGCCCCGCTCCGCTCCACCCCACCTACCCCTCCCGAGAAAAAAAGAGTGAAGTTCCAAGTCTTCCACTACCGCAGGCGCGACCAGTATACATAAACATTACCCCGCCCTGTTTCTCAACCGCAGCTCCTCGAGAGCTCAAAAAACTCCCACAGGTGATGTGGTGTAGGGGTAGCATGTGTCGTTGTGGAGAATCCCACAACACCAAGCCCAGCTTGGTTGTTTGCCCGTGGATGTTCACTAAACCGACCCGACCTGGGTTCGATTCCCAGCATCGCCAGCATGGTGCTTCCACGCTCAGCGTGGACTATCGATTCTTTTTGCTCTTTTTACGGAGATTGGGTGTGGTGGAGAGGGGAGGTCGCAGCAGGAGAGATAGAGCTGCGGTGCCGTTGGTTTTGATGGTTCTTCCAGCCCAGCGTAGTGTTTTTGCTCCTGTTTAGAATGGCAGATGGAGTGCAGTGAGAAGCGAGCAAGGTAGTTTGCAAGCTACAGTACGTTGCAAAAGTGAAAGTGTGATGAGTTAAACGACAGACACTCATTACATGCCTAGATCCATCGTGTTGCCATTTTCAAAAGCCGTTGGTCAAAAGGCATCGTCTCTATTTACCCCGTTCTGGATCGGTCCAGAAAATAGGCCGGCAAACAGCGGTTCAAGGACGGAGAGAATGAGATTCACGACGACTGTTTTGGCAACATCGCGCTCCATCGGCCACAGAAAACTCTCCTACATGCTGTTCCTGTCCAGCAATAGAGCTGTAGGCCGCAACAGAGAATTCGGGCCTCAAGAATACCTTGGCAGGCTGGCTCCGAAGGCCGAGTGAATTGGGTCATCCTGGGAGCACCAGGGTGAATGATTCGTGTGAGTTTTGTTGACGGGTTTTGGGTAGACACAGGCTTCGAGGCCGGATTGTGCCAGCCCTTTCAAAGTAGCTGTCTTGCAAGTTGCAATGGGTGAAGATGACGCTCTCACGATGGACGAGCGCATGACGATGGAGTTGCCGTTTTGGACAGCGCGCTTCTAGCGATGACTGCATTTGGCACTTGGCCGGACGCAGCCGACGACTGTGACGTGACTTGACTGTGCCACAGCGCGAGCGCGTCCACCTCACGCGCTGACGTGAAGCCTGTGGCAGCCTCTGGTCGTGATTGTCGACACCCAAGCGCGTCAAAGGAACCAACAGCCTTTGCTTTTTGTGCCTCGTGCATCCTCAGGTCTGCTGGCGTTTGCACCGTCCGCCCGTTTACGTGTCTGCCCTTTCCGTCAACAACTGCTGCGCCAGATCGCGCAGCCATGGCCGGACTCCTCCACTGCCCGTTCTGCCCCTTCTCGGACAGGGATTCGTACTTTCTGATGCTGCACGTCGAGGAGCTTCACACCGAAGACTCCCCCTTCGTCGCCCGGGACAACAACTCTGTTCCATACGCTCCTTCTCCCACGCTGCCCGGAAAGCAGGCCTGTCGCGACAGTCCGCCCACAGAAGAAGGCGATTCCGACTGGGTGCTCTGCCCCGATGACAATTGCGGAGAACAGGTTCCGCTCTATGAACTCAACGACCATCTCGATCTCCACCTCGCAGAGACGTTGGAATATCAAGAAGCCGCCGGCATATCTTCGTCGTCATCATCTACAGCTGCCAACATGCGTTCCCCGTCAACCATTGCTTCTGAGCATTCATTTAGCGGCAACAGCTTCTCGACTCAACCGAATCGCCATGCTCGGACCCGCCTCCCGTCCGACGACTCTGAAAAGACGACCTTGACCAGGAGCTTTCTGGACATCATCAAGCCCTCTTCGCCGTCAAAGAAGAAGAGTGGTTCCAGGCCTGCTCAAAATGGACGTCTTGGAGTGAGTTCGCTTGACAACATTCCCCTACGTCGTTGCTAAAATTCGCTCGCCAGATATCCGAGCTGGGTCCTTATGCGTTTGAAGAGCAGATGCCCGCATGGTTGTACCGGCAAATAGAAGCTGGCCCCAAGGTCACAATCGCCAACCGCATTGGCCGCGATGGCCGTATCATCAAGGTTGAAGAGGTTGACAATGAGACCCCCGGAATTCTCCCTGTCCTGGCTCAGCTTTGCTCCATTGATCGAGGCGTCAGCCGCGCTTACCTCTGCCATCCCAGCACCATGTTCATCACCAAACGGCAAAACGAGGGCGGCTTCTGTGGCTACCGCAACACCCAGATGCTCGTGTCCTATGTCCAGGGCGCAAAGGCTCAAGGCCATGACAAGTTCGGTTCGCGCACGCCTGGCATCCTCTTGCTGCAGGACATGATCGAAGAAGCTTGGGACAGGGGCATCAACACTGTTAGTCGCACCCAGACCGGTGGCATCCGAGGGACGCGCAAGTACATTGGCACGCCAGAGGTAAGTCAATTATGCCTCGTCTTCCGAAAACGTACTCACATGACCCAGGTCGAAGCCCTGCTCCGGAGCCTCGGAATCGACCATGGCCTGCAAATGTTTACGGACCGTCCAAACAATCAAGCACATGAGCAGCTCCTGAATGACGTCGAATCTTACTTTGAGGCAGCGGTCGAAGACGACGAGAATATCAAGGTGCACAAGACGCACTTGCCGCCCATCTACCTCCAACAGCCCGGCCACTCAATCACCATTGTCGGCTTTGAGAGGCTCAAGGATGGCACCCGCAACCTTCTCGTATTTGATCCCATGTTCAGGACCTCGCCAGGCATGCACAGAATTCTCGGTCGAAAGGACTTGCGCACGCATCGACCTGAGATTCTGCAGGCCTATCGAAGGGGTGCCAGGCAGCTGAGCAGGCACAGAGACTTCGAGATGATCAAGCTCACTGCTCATCCGCCGCTCTTCCCGGCATGGGACGTATGAAGTCCCTCTATCTCGTGCTCCACAGTCGCTTCCCATTTCCGGCATTATTATTCATCACGATACCCAGCATTTCACAAGACTTCTGCTCTTACCAGTTGCTAAAAGTCAACAGGTCATTTCGATTTTTCCCGAGTGTCCCTACCTCTACGTCTTCTTTCATGCGCCCACGCTGGATTACCACATCATTCCAGAGCATTGTTTCACGGTGCTGTTCCCGTGGCAGAGCTTCGGAGCCCTGTTCTCTGTCCAAGACGCCCGATTCGCTTCCACCGACACGACCAACGAGACGACGACTGACAGCGGTCTCCTGGGTGGAATGCCGGTCTTGCTGGACAAGGCCTACCTTGAGTGGATGAAGCCGACCACTGGACCAGATCCTGTGTGCGCCATCAAAACGACCAACACCGTTAGCTCCCATCCTTCGTCTGTTGCCGCTTACCTCGAAACCCATCAAAGCGAGGAACTCCCCGAAGACGTGTATTTTGAAAAGTCCGTCGATGCCCCCGTTGCCATCCATTATGCCTGTGGTATGCCTTTTCGACCTGGATACATTCATCACGCCTTCAAACGGTGCCAACCCCCGAATCCCTTCAAACGCTACCACAACAGCGAAAGCTCTTCATCGACGATCAGCATCACCGGTGGCAGCAGCGAGACCAGCCCGACATCCCCGCGTCCTCCGTTTGCTTCCGGGGCGCGCCCGCCTAGCAAATTTCCAGAGAAACGGCTGCGGCCTTTGAATCCTCGCGCTGCCGGATGGCCGTTTGCACCACCACAGGCCCAGCCGCAGCAGCATTGCTCTTCTTCACCAAATTTCCAACCATTTCCTTCTCCTGCTTCGTCCGTGTGCTCGATGTCGGGCGCTGCTGAAGTTGGAAGCGGAGAGCCTAGTTGCCAGCATTGTGCATACGCAAAAAGGTATACAAAATGGCTACATCCCCAAACGCATCATGAGCGGAGAGACTCTGGCACTGGATGCACTCCAGACCTGTCCGGTCAATTCAGCACGCCGGCTCCACCACTGTTTTCTCTGCCATCACCAGCTCTTTCACGAGTCCCTTCGTTCGCCTGCCATTATCACCAGCAAAACAACCTCCCCTACCGGCCCAGGCAAGACTCGCAGGACCAAAGCTCGAGCGACTATCAACAGCTTCCTTCTCGTCGCCGATGGTCGCAAGCTACCAACTCCACCGTGACATCGATCCGTCATCACCCCTCAGCGTCGGCGGCAGTGCCGGATCAGCTTGAAGACTTCTTTTACGAGATGGGGAGCGACGGACGCCAGGCCGTCTTTTACGGCACAGGCAATGGGATGCACAAGGGAAAAGAGGTGCGCAATGCCAGGACCTGCGGTAACTGGAGGGACAGCTGAAACGTGGATGGGCAGAGTCTGATGGACGCTTCTTGCTTCTTGCTTTTGGGTTTCCTTTGTCTTATTTCGTGGGCTCGACGGTGTTTGGGCTGGATACTGGGTTCAAGGGGCGGCCAAGCTTCTTGACATGAGAGTGGGCGTACGGATGGCATTGACATGGCTTTGCAATGGCATGCGCGCATCAAACAAGTGGTATGCATGCATGAATAAGAAATGGTGGATTAGAATAGAACTTGAGGCTTGGGGTAGATGGCTCCATGAGATGACATTCCAATTTGCCTTTGGCTTGACGAGTGCAGACAAGTCTGTGCCATTCAAGGACACTAGGAAAATGAAGTAGAGGGGCGTAGAAAGTCTGCAAATGCGCAGATCCGGACAGTGCCGATGCGCTTTCTGTGGCTTTGCTGTTGAAGTACGAGGACGGCATTACATCACCCTCAACACAAAACAATGCGTGTAGCCTATGCAAGTGACTGGGATCGTTTGCCCATTCAACACTCTTGCCATTTTACAAAATACTCATGACATCCGGATTCGAGCTGAAATGTATGAAGCAAATCTCGCCGATGATCCTGCCCGCATCGTCAGGATTGGGTGCCGTGTCTGTAGTGGCGTGTCGGCGGGAAAAGTACACTGGTCTTTCCATCCTCTTTTTGTGCAGCGGACACGAGCGCATCTGGTCACACTTGACTTTGCGCTGCCTACACTGGACACAACTGAACAGCGGCCTGTTTCTGCGCCGACGTGGGGGAGGCGGGGGTTGATCCATCCTGTGCTGCTCTCAGACGTTGAGTGGGTATATATAAGGAGATGAAAAAAAGGGGCACTGATGGTGTCGAAAGCGAGACGCGAGTGAAGGCAGGAGGACGGGTCCGGCTCTACAAAGCTCAGCCTTGGACTTTCCCAATCTGCTCGGCTCGGATTTGACCTGACTCAGGCACATACAGATTTATCTGATGTCGGCGTTTGATCTTCTCGAGCCGCCCAAGAGTGGGACCCCAATACACTTGTTGCGCATTCTCGAGAAAGGGGTCAACATATCCAGCATATGCGCC